CGAGGGGGCGACGGCGATGATGAGCTCGCCGTTCAGGTGGGCGCCCTCCAGGATGAGGAAGTGGTTGTGCTGGGAGGCGCCGTGGGCGCCAGTGCGGTTGAAGAAGGCCTGCTGGTGCCCGATGCTCTGCTGGTGCCCGTTGGTGTGCTGCTGTTTCCCGCAGGTGTGCTGCTGGTTCCCGTAGGCGTGTTGCTGGTTCCCGTCGGAGCGGGGCGGAGGCTTGGCCCCCAAGTGGGCCGTCCTCCTGGTCTGGGCGGGTCGTCGTAGGGCCTACCCCCTCGCCCTGCAGGGGCGCCGAAATTTGCCCCGCCAGATTTTGCCTCCCGCGCGGCTGCCGCCATGTCGTGGTTCTCGGTGTACGTGGTTTCGCCGTCGTACTCGCTGTCCGTGGCGTTGCTCTCTGTGTCGTTCTGGCTCGCTGGGTCGCTGTCGTCGAGTCGGCCGTCGGAGTCCTCCCCGTGAGAGTGGTCCTGGGGCCGCTCGAGGTGGCTGCGCAGGTCGAACGAAACCCTGCGTCTCGCTGGCTGCCTCGGGTCGCCGCCTGCTGCTTCTCGCAGGCTGCCTCGCGCCGCCGCTGTACTCGGGGTGGTAGCCGTCGGAGTCCTCCTGGAAGGAGTGGTCCTGGGGCTGGTGGCGGCGTCATCCTTGGTCGCGCGCTGGCCGCGGGCGTCGTCGTGCTCGGACGCGTCGCCCTGGTCGGCCGCGGACCAGTGGGCGCTGGTTACGACACCAGCGAAAATCGCCTCGATGCGTGCTGGAATGGGGATGCCGTCGGCGGCCATGGAGACGAAAGCAGCCGCGTTGGGCGCGCAGATGCCTGCCGCCTCTAGTGCCGCGCGGGCCGCGGATCGCCACTGCGCACCCGATCTCGCCGCAGCTCCGATGACCTCAGCTGCCACGGCAATCTTCTCACGCGCCTGGGTGCCGCCAATGCGCTGATTCGTCAGCTGCAACTTCGTCGTGCTGCAGCTGATGGTGTGCTCTCGCACGGCCCGAAGCAAGTCCTCTTCCACTGCCGTCTCTTCTCGCACAGCGCCTGTAACTGATGGCGTAGTGATGTTGCCGCTCTTGCCCGCTGCCGCTGCCGCTGCCGTGCCCCTCGTTTCACATTTGCCCTGACCCCTGAATCGTAGATGATCACATCGGGCTCTATCTTCGCCTTCCTTCGTCTCGCACGTGTTGGCTGGGTCCTCGGCTAGGTTATTGGTGAGGGGCTCCATCCTCACCGCCTGCTTCTCACAGTGATGTGTTTGCGATGGCGTCTGGGCTCTGTCCTCCAGATGGCCTGTGTCATCGCCCTCCAGCTTCGCTGGCGCTGTTGCTGGCGCCACATCACGCGCACGGGCGGCCGCGCCTGCAGCTAATGACGACTGTACTCCATTCCTAGCGCCAATTCCCGAGGTCGCCTCAAGCTTGCCCTGATCCCTGAACCGTAGATGATCGCGTCGGGCTCTATCTTTGCCTTCCTTTCTCTCGCGCATGGCTGAGTCCACTTGGAGTGTTGACTCTTCACCGCTGCTGCCACTGCCGTTGCTTCCTTGAGTCTTGACTCTGGACTGCTGCTGCCACTGCCGTCCCCTGCCATTGTTTCTTGATTCTTGACCGCTGCTGCCACTGCCGTTGCTTCCGCCAGCTGCCTGGGGCGACGCCCGCCCTTTCCCGCAGGGGTCGTCCGCTTCGGCGCTGTAGCTGATGTCTTCTGGCATCCAGCGCTGTCCCCAAAAAGGCTCATGATGCGCTTGTTGCCACCACTGGTGCCACGCTCGCAATTGGCACTGCAGATCGGAGATGAGTTGACGTTGAGACTGCAATTGATGGCTCGCTGCCCGCTGCGTCGCCACCTGGCGCGCTTTCCGCGCGAGGCGGACCTGTTGGGCCCAGGGGTTCTTCTGCTGTTGCTGCTGCTGCTTCACAGGCTCCACGCTCTGCGTGCCGAGCGAGGCACCATGAGCGTCCTGCCAGGGCCGTGCCACATGACGAGGCTCCATCGCGGCGCGGTCGGCAGGACCTGCGAACGCACGCGCGCGCCTGGGGCCAGCCCGCGAAGCCGCCAGCCCTGTGGCCCCGGAGGGCCGCAGGAGGGCGGCGGCGGTTCGGGCCCCCGATGGCCCTCACCCCCCTCCTCCTCCTCCTCCCTCCTCCTCCTCCTCCTCCTCCTCCTCCTCCTCCTCCTCCTCCTCCTCCTCCTCCTCCTCCTCCTCCTCCTCCCCCCCTCCGCGCGCGCACCCCGAGGCGGCTCTCTGGGCCGCGCCCCCCCATTCGGGCACGCGCGCCCGGGGCCGTGGGCGAAGCACACCCCTCCGCACCCGCGGCCTCGCGGGCCGGGGCCCCGTGGGCGCGGCCCCGCGGAGACGGGGCGCCTGCTCGCCAGTACCCCGCGCGGGAGGAGGAGGAGGAGGAGGAGGAGGAGGAGGAGTCAGGAGGAGCGAGGAGGAGGAGGAGGAGGAGGAGGAGGAGGAGGAGGAGGAGGAGGAGGATGGCGGGAGGGGGGAGGGGAGGGGAGGAGGAGAGGAGGAGGAGGAGGAGGAGGAGGAGGAAGAGGAGGAGGAGGGGAGGAGGAGGAGGAGCGAAAAGGGGAGAGGATGCGGGAGAGGGAGGGGGGCGGAGGGAGGAGGAAAAAAGGAGGAACAGGAGGAGGAGGCTGGGAAGGAGGAGGAGGAGGAGGAGAGGAGGAGGAGGAGAGAAGGAGGGGGAGGAGGAGGTGGAGGAGGAGGAGGAGGGAGGAGGAGAGGAAGGAGGAGGAGGAGGAGGAGGGGAGGAGGCAGGAGGAGGAGGAGCAGGAGGACCAGGGAGGACGAGGATGAGGATGAGATTAGGATGAGATTAGGATTAGGATAATTAGGAGACGAGGAGGAGGGAGGGAGGAGGAGGAGGAGTAGGAGGAGGAGGAGGAGGAGGAGGAGGAAGGGGGAGGAGGAGGAGGAGGAGGAGGAGGAGGAGGAGGAGGAGGAGGAGGAGGAGGAGGAGGAGGAGGAGCCCCGACCGCGGGGGCGCGGACGCGGCGAGGCTCGCCGCTCGTGATGCAGGTGGCCCGCCGGTGTGCGGCACGCGGGCGCGGGCGTGAGCGTGGGCTGCAATGCGGGTGGGCTCGCCGCTCGTGACAAGGGGGCCCGCCGGTGTGCTCCACGAGGGCGCGGGCGGAGCCTCCCGGCGTGATGGGCATCGACTCACCGATCCCTATCCTCCCTGGCGTTGCCTGGGCCCCACTGGCCGAGTCACCCCCCCGGATGGGGATGCAGGCTGTCCCCTTCGGGCTGCAAGAGGCACATCCCCAACTGGGGTGGTAAGACGGTGGGGATCGGGACGATACGCCGAGAAAAAATACATAAACATAAGAACTCGGAGGTCCGCGCGGATTTCTTGGATGCGCGCGGAGCGCGCCAGGGGCGGCGCCCGAGGCGCCGCCAGGTGGTCCAGCGGGGATCCGAGAAATCCGCGCGGACCTCCGAGTCGTTCTTCGCTCCTCTGCCAAGGGCCAGAACGGCGTGAGGTGGCCGTCTGGACGTCTTCGAGCAGCCCAATGGTCCCCGAGGGGGAGGGGGGCATCGGCACGGACGTGAGCGTGGGCCGAGATGCCCCCCTGCCAGTGGCCATCGCTCGGACGTCCATGCCCTGTGCTTTTTTCGATTTTGTGCGTGGTTTTTTCGCCAAATGATCAAGGATGCTCCTCGATGGTCCTCGCCGAAGGAAAAATACACACGTCCGAGCGATGCCCCCCTGCTGGCCTGCGGGGCGGAGGGGCGCAGCTCCCGCGGCCTGGGGCGCCGGGTTGGGGCAGGCATGCGGCTGCGGAACGGAGGGAGGGGGGCGCGGGCAGGCGAGGCGAGGCCGAGGCGCTCCGGGGGGAGGAGGAGGGAGGAGGAGGAGGAGGAGGAGAAGGGGAGGAGGAGGAGGAGGAGGGGGATGAGGGGAGAGGGGGGGGAGGAGGAGGGGGAGGAGGAGGAGGAGGAGGAGGAGGAGGAGGAGGAGGAGGAGGAGGAGGAGGAGGAGGAGGCGGAGGAGGAGGAGGAGGAGGAGGAGGAGGAGGGGGACGGGGGAGGGGGAGGAGGAGGGGGAGGGGAGAGGAGGAGGAGGAGGAGGAGGAGGAGGATGGAGGAGGAGGAGCAGGAGCAGGAGGAGGAGGAGGAGGAGGAGCAGGAGGAGGAGGAGGAGGAGGAGGAGGAGGAGGAGGAGGAGGAGGAGGCCGATCCAAGATGTGCTCGAGCACCAACGGGGCCCCTGCGGACGGCTGTGGACATGCAGGGCCTCGGCTTCTCGCCCGAGGGCCTGCCTGGGGCGCCCCCCGGTGGGCAGCGGTGCAGCGGGCCCCCGTGCAGGGAGCAGACATTCCCAGACACTGAGCAGGGGCCGACCGTCCCGGCAGTCCAAAAGGCCTGCCACGAAATCCTCTTAGAAGCCGAAACATGTCCCGAGAACAAGAGCAAGGTGCTGAGAACATCCGCCCGATGCACGAAAACAAGGCAGCCCCAGTCGGACATCTTCTGCGACAAGTTCGTGCAGACCACAAAAATAGGGAGCCCACAAAGGACGTACGCGCCCAGCTATGTACATGAACACGGCCCCTCGACCCGCGAGACCGGCCGCGTGATACGAACATTCGCGCAGTGCGAACTCTCGAAACCAGGGTGGATTCATGTACGTGTACGTCCTTCTTTCGCTCCTGAAAAAAGGTTCTAGGAATTCTTCGGTTGGCCTTCTGGAGGTAAGCTTGGGCGCTTCGCCCCTGCCGCCCCTGCTTGAACAAACACTCGGCAGCGGAGGGGAGCCGCTGGCTGAGGGGGCGTGCTGGGCCCCGGACCCGCTCTCCCGAAGCAGGGGCCGCCGAAACACCGGTCGATGCAGCAAAACCGCGCTGCGGCAGGAAAAGGAGCCTCGAGCAGGAGGGCGAGGAGGAGCAGGAGGGCGAGGAGGAGAAGGAGGAGGAGGAGGGCGAGGAGGAGGAGGAGGAGGAGGAGGAGGAGGAAGGCAGGGAGACGAGTACGCTCTCTCCCCCCTCGGGCCTGGCGCAACGTGTCTTGCCGCTGAAGCGCGCAGCGGCGGGTCACGGACACCCAGTCGTCCCCCGGCGAGTGCAGCGTCATGGTCGAGCCTGCCTTCATCATGCCGCCGGCTGTGACACCGGCCGCAACGTGCCTCACCTGGGAGGGCGCCAGCTCGACACACCCCCGCCCCCCTCCCCGAAGCCTCTCCCCCCCGCTCTCCCCATTCCTCTTTTTCTTGTGGCATCTTGCGTGGGTTGGCCTCCATTCCCAGGCAACGAATTCCCCGGCTTTCCCATTCCTTTTTTTCCCAACCCTCCTTGGTTGGGTATTCGTTTTGAATAGAGCAGTGTGGTCGCATCCCTTCTCCTCCCGCCTCTTCCTGTCTTGCCCGCGGGGGGCTGCGATCTGTGAAACTGTCACCACTTTCGAGGCCTGTTGGGGGGCCCAGCACAGTGAGGGCCACGGGCGGACCCACATTAGACCTCGCCATCCCTGGGGGGCTGCGATCTGTGAAACTGTCGCCATTTTCGAGCCCTGCTGGGGGGCCAGCACAGTGAGGGCCACGGGCGGACCCAAATTGACCTCGCCATCCCTGGGGGGCTGCGATCTGTGAAACTGTCACCACTTTCGAGGCCTGCTGGGGGGCCCAGCACAGTGAGGGCCACGGGCGGACCCAAATTAGACCTCGCCATCCCTGAGGGGGGCTGCGATCTGTGAAACTGTCGCCACTTTCGAGGCATGCTGGGGGGCCCAGCACAGTGAGGGCCACGGGCGGACCAAAATTAGACCTCGCCATCCCTGGGGGGCTGCGATCTGTGAAACTGTCGCCATTTTCGAGGCCTGCTGGGGGGCCCAGCACAGTGGGTCCACGGGCGGATTCAAATTAGACCTCGCCATCCCTGGGGGGCTGCGATCTGTGATACTGTCGCCACTTTCGAGGCCTGCTGGGGGGCCCAGCACAGTGAGGGCCACGGGCGGATTCAAATTAGACCTCGCCATCCCTGGGGGGCTGCGATCTGTGAAACTGTCGCCACTTTCGAGGTCTGCTGGGGGGCCCAGCACAGTGAGGGCCACGGGCGGATTCAAATTAGACCTCGCCATCCCTGGGGGGCTGCGATCTGTGAAACTGTCGCCACTTTCGAGGCCTGCTGGTGGGCCCAGCACAGTGAGGGCCACAGGCAGATTCAAATTAGACTTCGCCATTCCTGGGGGGCTGCGATCTGTGAAACTGTCGCCACTTTCGAGGCCTGCTGGGGGGCCCAGCACAGTGAGGGCCACGGGCAGATTCAAGTTAGATCTCGCCATCGCTGGGGGGGGCTGCGATCTGTGAAACTGTCGCCACTTTCGAGGCCTGCTTGGCGGGCCCAGCACAGTGACGCCACGCGCGGACCCAAATTAGACCTCGCCATCCCTGGGGGGCTGCGATCTGAGATCTCCGCTTTCGAAGTGGCTAGGGTTGCTCAGGGATTGCAACTAATCAGCTTTATCTAGTCCTTGTCCTGAAGCCAGTTTCCTGCGAGTCTCCCGAATTCCGTCTGCAGACATATGTAACCCTTGCTCCGTCATCGCCCCCCTTATAAAGTGTCCTAAACTATTTGCGCCCCGCGTTTGCGCAGGGGTTGGGTACGTCGCCAGGGTAAGTATTGTGGCATCTTCGAGCCCAGTCAGAACAGGGCGCAGCCGGACTTGCACAGAGGAGGAAAGGAGGAGGAGGAGGAGGAGGAGGAGGAGGAGGAGGAGGAGGAGGAGGAGAAGCGAGCTCAGCAGGCTCGCGAGGAGGAGGAGGAGGAGGAGGAGGAGGAGGAGGAGGAGGAGGAGGAGGAGGAGGAGGAGGAGGAGTAGGAGGAGGAGGAGACGAGCGTACAGGGAAGGAGGAGGAGGAGGACCATCGCACGGCTTCGGAAGGGGTTCGACTTCGCTTACTGCGACTCGAGCGCCTGGGCTGCCTGGGTGGCAACCGCATCGATTGAAATCGGAGGCTTGAAGACAATGGGACTCGTCTTAGAGGCCCGTGGATGTCTCCCCTCCTGGAGGCGCGCATGGGCGCCTTCTGAAAAGTGTGACTTGAATTTCCTGAGACAACTCTTCTGGAGGCTCTTCACAGTACACTCTGAATAACTGCCGCACAGGTGACATGCAACAATAAAACTCTCGTCAACACAGCTGTCGTAAACAAATAACTTGTGTCCATTGGGCTGCATGCCTAGCTTAGCTAGTCTAGCAGCATTGCCTGGGCACCTTTCCTTATCTCGTGAAACCTTAACTTTGTCAGAGCGGCAACGCGAGTGGCATACGCAGCAGAGCCAACGATTCTTCTGCCACGTCCAGACGTGCCCGACGCGAGCACGGGCGGCCCAGAGGGGACGGGGAGGGGGAGGAGCCGCCGCAGCTCCAGAACCCGAGGAGCCCCCTGGGTTAGCTCCGCCTTGCCACACTTCCGCGATTGAGCCAGCTCCGACAACGGGATTGGCAGCCTTCACAGGCCCCTCCAGGGCCTTTTCCCCCAACCCTCGGCGCAATAGGAGGCCACAACACGAGGGCCTTCGGCACAAACCGAAGGAACCTTCTAAGTCTCTGGTCGAGCAGCTGCTGGGCGTCACGCTCGTTGGCCGAGGGCTGGGGGAGGCGAGAGGCAGCTAATTTGGCAATTCTGTCGGCTGCATCGTTTCCCGAGGCGTGGCGCCACTCTTCAGAGTAGCGCTCGAGGGAATCTACATCTTGATGGGCTTTGACCTTGGCAACTTCGAAACCCCCGTCGCGGCTGGCTTCTCCAAGTTTGGCCATAGCACCAAGCCCGTCAGATATATTCTTCCTACTGGCAGGGAGTCCAGAATTGTGGCAGGCAACGACTCCCTTAAAGTCGGAGTAGATCTTAGTGACTCCTCTAAACTGGCTGCTGGCTAAGTACGCTAGGGATTCGGCTGCTGGGGAGGTGGGCGGCAGCGCGCTGCCTACGGGCCCACACAGGTAGGCTTCTATTTCCCCATGGGGGTCACATTTTACCGTAGCCCAGCCTGGGGCGTGAAACCAAGCGTGGCCCGATTTGGCCACGCTGCCGTCGACGTAAACCTCGCCAACGAAAACTTCCGCGGGTTGACGGCCGTCACGGGACCAAAACACAGCCTCATTCAAACCTAATCCTACGGGCCGCGGGACCTTGAAAGGGGGCGGCTCGGGAAAACCCGCACACGTGGCAAAGGCTGCTGGGTCCTTCAGGGCTTCCACATCTCCTTCCTCAAGAAACTCCTCCCTAAGCTGAGCACAGCTGGGGCACTCCAGAAGGCGGTGGAATATGTGGTCCTGGGGGGCCCCGCATATGCACGTGGTGTCAATGTCGTAACCCGCTTCCTTGAGTCTACTCTTGGTCCATATCGACTGGGTCAGGTACGAGACGAGAACACTTCGATCTTGCTTGGATAATCTTTTATCTGCAACTGCTGCTTTGGCGTGCGACATATCAATTGCTGGCACTCCTATCTTGATGGCCGCCTGCTCCGCCTGCCTGTCGTGCCAAGCTGCCTCCAGCATCTGGCGGATGAGCGCAGGCGAACTGGTGGTGAGCGGGTAGACCTCGCCCTCCCCACTCATGAACTCCATGGGGCTGGTCCATGACCAGCCAACTCTAGGCAGACTTAAATGCACCGCCCCAAGAGGACCTCGTATGTTTCCCCATCCCGAGGGTGGCTTGTCCAGGATATTGGCAGCAAGTTGTCGGAGTTCGGGCAGGGTGAATTCTGATTTCCTTGGGTCTCGGGCGGCTCGGAAGACTATGATGCTCCAGTACATGCATGGCCCCAGGGCGGATCTCCAGGTAGGGTCCTCTAGGATAGCGAGCGACAAGGCCCGAGAACGCGTAGCACACTTGGGCCCAGCAACCTTCAAGAACAGCGATTGAGCCTCCTGGAGCTCCTGAACAGACATCCCAAGAATTTCAGTCCCAAAATAACCAGCTTGTTGGAGCCCCGTATTCCAAACCTTACGAGTGACAGCTCAAGCAGCACGAAGTGCGCGCAGGCGACGAAGTCTCAGCTTCAACTTGCAGGCTCTTCCTTTCAAAGCTTTCCTTCCCTTGCTCCTTAGTCTGGCTCCTGCAGTGAAGTCGACTCCTAAGTTAGTGGCTGCCGTCTCGGCCAGACCAGCCTGAGGGCCAGCCCACTGGCCAAGCTTGGCCGCAAGATCGGCCTTGATCCTCGGCGTCGAAGCCACAACAGCAGCCTTGTGCTTAGCGATATCACACTTAAGATCGACGACGATCGACTGATGCATACTGGCTGAGGCCGTGACTAGATCTGCTATCAATTTGTTCGGCTTGCTGTTGTGGCTGGCAAGCAGGAAATCGTCAATGAAAATGGTAGGCTGCACTCTGGGGTTCTGAGCCACCCAGATGTCGATGGGCGGCAAGCAGTACTGCTGTACAACAAAAGTGGCGGCCCAGCAGCCTGCAGCTATACCTCTCTCTGGGCAACCTGCAGGTAAGGCTGAGGATCTCGTGGCTACAGTCCTGGGCGCCTGGTACTGATTGCAAATGATGACTACCAGGGAATCCGAGAAATTGGTATCCTGAGCTCTGTCCCTCCAGAGTCCCCTATCCACATATTCATAATAATTGGATAAATCCCAAAGAACAGCAGCTGAGAAAACTTTCTTATCTCCCAAGAATTGCCCTTCTGCTTGCATTGCTTGCTCGAAAACAACTTCCAAAACACCTTTGCCAGCTTGATGAGCTAGATATCTACGAGGGTGAGCGCGTTCCCAGGCACGAAACTCAAGCTGACGATGCTTGCCCCAAACTCTCCAAAGACCAGGCATCATACCTATACCCCTGTAGCTAGGACCTGGGTTGGGACCTGGTTTGTGCTTTTCGATCAGAACCGTCACGATGGCTCTTATCTGCGTCGGAAAGGCCCCTATCTTCTCGATGGACCTAAGGAGCCTACACACAATAGCCAGCTGGGCGTCCTCGAGGAGGCTGAAGTGTCTTGGGTGGATCCCGTCCCAGGTCCTAGCAGTGGTACTGCTGAATTTGCGACTGGCTTCGCGCAACTGATCTGCTGAAATGTCTGCAAGGTCTTCACCTCGCAATTCGGCTTGAAGAAGGGCGGGCTCCTCAGGTCGAGCTCGCCACAACTTACTTAAACGTTGCTGTTCCGCCTCCA